CCTCCTAGACACCCCAGGGAAGGGGGGGAATTGCTGCCCCAGGCCCCCCAGACAGCAAAATGCTTCTTCCACACCACACCCAGCAAAGGGAAACCCAGGGCTGGTGTGTGCCCCTGCCAGGCCCCGGAGCAGCCAGGCACTTCCCACAGCAGCCCTGGGGGTTGGGAGTTTGGGGGGCTCGTCTCAGACACAGGCAGCCAGGCGGGCCGGAGTCTCAACGGGAGAAGATTAGGCTGTCTGTCAGGCAGGGAGGAAGCAGGGTGGCCTGACAGCTTGCCCACTGGCCATCTGGCATCTGCTACTGCCAGGCCCCAGGGCTCTCGCTCTGGCAATCAGCAGGGATGTTGAACCTCCCAAACCTGCCAGCCTCCCCGACCCCAGGGACCCCCTCCCGCGTCCCAAGGAAAGCTCCACTCAGAGCCAAACCCAGCCAGGCTTTGGCAGAGCGTCTGGACCTTTCCCAGCCTGCTGCGGAGATGACAGGACCCAGTCGGGCTGCTGAGTGCAGGGATCAGCAGGATGCCCCCCTCCCACCCCCGCACCCCACACACACACACTCCTCAAATCCTCAGCGTGCCGCGAGGCAGGGGCTCTCACTTGACGTATCTGGAGCAGTTGGTAAAGAAATCCACCAGGCAGGCGTAGAGATAGGTCTCTGCCAAGGGAAAGGGAGGGCAGGTCAGCAAGGCAGCTGGCTCAGACAGCAGGCTCTGGGAGAGGGGCCCTGGGAGCTGTGGGTGCGGCCCAGCCACTAGCCTAGGACATGGGTTCAAGCCCTGCTCTGCCACAGACCCCCCTGGGCCAGTCACTTAGCCTCTCTGGGCCTCCGATCCCAGCTGTCACCTGCATGGCCCTCGCACAATTGGGGGTGGTAAACGCATTCGGGTGAGATGCTCAGATACTGGAGGGCAGACAGGTACCAGAGAGAGGCGGGGATCCTGGTGAGTGAGGGGGCCCCAGGGGAAATGGGGGCTGAATTTTACAGCAGGGCTGCCCCCTGCACATGGGGGGAGGCCATAGCCCTGTGTACCTGTGAGGTTGAAGAGCGTGTTGAGAATGTGAAATCGCTTCATATCGTCCCGCTGAATGAACTTGTTGGGGTAATAATTCCAGATCTCAGCCCTGGAGAGGGAGACAAACCCATGTGAGGGACTGCGGGGGGGCACTGGCTGAGTGAGGGGCAGGGCGGAGCTGCCAGAGAGGGCAGATGCTGTAGAGCAGAGGCAGAGCTCAGCTGTGATGAATCCTACAGGGATTTTCCCACAGAGGCTGCTGGACACAGACGACCCTGGGGTTCTCTCTAGCTTCCAGCCTGCAATACCCAGTGTTACCACAAGCTGGCACCCTAAGCCAGGCCTCCTGCCCCGCATAGGCCAGCTCCCGGGTGGCTGGAGCAGGTGTGTTCTGCACACACAGAGCACCGCGAAGAGCCAGCTGCAGCCCCCTAAGCCACGCGCTTGTCTCCACGGCCCCGTGCGACATCCCAGCAGCACCCACAGCAGGGAGCCGGCCAGCCTGCAATGGCCACCAGCTCCCCGCAAGGAGCCTAGCGGTCACAGGACAAGAGCACTGATTGCCATGCAGCAGCAGCCAAAGAGAACAAAAACTATGTTATAAATCAGGGGTGGGCAAACTATGGCCCGCAGGCCACATCCGGCTCACTAGCCAATTTAACCCAGCCCTGGAGCTCCTGTTGGGGAGCAGGGTCTGGGGCTTGCCCCGCTCCCGCGCTCCAGCCGGGGAGCAGGGTTAGGGGCCACTCCATGCACTGCGGCTCCCGGAAGCAGCGCATGTCCCCCCATGGCTCCTACATTTAGGGGCAGCCAGGAGGCTCCACGCGCTGCCCCGTCTGCAGGAACCGTCCCCGCAGCTCCCATTGGCCAGGAACTGTGGCAAATGGGAGCTGCAGGGGCAGCACCTGTGCACGGGGCTGCACGCAGAGCCGCCTGGCCATGCCAGAGCCGGAGGGGGGACATGCTGCTGCTTCCGGAAGCTGCTTGAGGTAAGCGCCGCCCAAAGCCTGCACCCCGACCCCCTCCTGTGCCCCTGCCCCATCCATGATCCCCCTCCTCCACCCTAAACCCCTCAGCCCCACCCCAGAACCTGCACCTCCAGCTGAAGCTCTCACCCCCTCCACACACCCCAATCCTCTGCCCCAGCCCAGAGCCCCAGCCTGCACCCTGAACTCCTCTTTTCTGGCCCCACCCCAGAGCCCTCACCCCCTCCTGAACCCCAACTTCGTGAGCATTCATGTCCCACCATACAATTTCCATACCCAGGTGTGGCCCTTGGGCCAAAAAGTTTGACCACCTCTGCTATAAAGCATGACAATGGGACACCCCCCTGCATCCTAATCAACGCTGACAGCACACACACCCCCGCCCCATTGACACCATGCCCCCCACCAGCTGACGGGATGCCCCAGGATGATCAGTGAGGGCACGCAGGGCTGCACTATTTATACACTACAATGCAGGGCATTCGCTGGACACTTTCCCACCAAAGGACCCCACCCCGAATCCTACTTGCATCTGGTCGGATTCTTGACCTGCTCCCTGCCCCATGGGGGACCAGCACTTCTGCCCCCATCCAGAGATCTAGCCCCATGGCCAGCCGGGCTCAGACAGGCCCCTGAGATGATGCTCCCCGGCTGGGCCTTTTGTCCCGAGCTGCACTGCCCAAACCTCTGGAGTTTTCCAGATAAACCCAGTGCAACCTGAGTCCCTCAGCATGAGGCTTCCTCCCTTTCCAGGAAGGGGACGACCTTCCCCATGCCCTTCCCCGGAATGTCTCCCCGGAGCGCCGGAGGGGAGGGGGAGATATACACCACATTCCTACATGTTTCCCTAAATCTCCTGCATGTTTCCACTGCCCCCCAAAGCCGGTGGCTCAGCTGTGCTCACAGCTGCCCAGTCACTCAGGCCGTGGGGATGGAAGGTAACAATCGCCCCGGCGCAGCGTCTGGTTGGAAAGAAAACACGCTGGCTAAAAATATCCCCTGCCTGGCAAGCAATGGAACTGCTGGTCCCATTGTGCCCAGCTGCTGCACCGCCCCAGGCCTGGGCAGAGACAGCTCCTTGTGGGGCACAGCCCCCCATCTGGGAGCATGCGGCTCTCCCCCAATCTGCCCCAGTGCTTCCCAACGCAGCCACAAGGGAGCTGATGGCACAGCCATCTCCCCGCGGAAGCAGAGATGGCCATGCCAGGTGACAGGCAAAGAATCATAGAATATCAGGGTTGTAAGGGACCTCAGGAGGTCATCTAGTCCAACCCCCTGCTCAAAGCTGTGACCAAGGGCAGGGCAGAGCCAGGCCCCTCAGATCTCCCCTCTCCAGTGCAAGAGGTGTTCTGGGGCAGGGGTGCAAGGGTGGACTGGGGCCAGCCCTCTGCCCTGATGTGCCCCTGGTGCCAGCCTCAGCACTGGGGTGAATTTGCCCCTTGGCGAGTAGCTTCAGCCTGTCCCACCTCCCCTTGCGATTCAGGAACTGCTCCTCCAGGGATGAAGTGCCGGGTTGCAGGGGAGGCGCAACCCCGGGACACTGGACAACGCCATGTTTATAAAGAAGATGAAGTGCTGGGCCGGCAGCAGGCTGGTGTTGTCGCGCTTTATTTAGAACCATGACAGCAGCCTGGAGACATCCCTCCGCCCCAACCTGGCTCCCCCCCTACCTCCAGGGAGCAATGTGGAGGCTTCATTATGCCCAGGATCAGAGCACTGGCAGCAATCCCAGAAGCGCAAGGATGGCCCACTGGTTAGGGGCTGGCCTGGGAGATGAGGCAAAGTCACTTGGGTGCTCTGTGCCTCAGTTTCCCCTCTGTCCAATGGGGAGAACAGCCCTGCCCTGCCTCCCAGGGCTGGGTGAGGATAAATGCATTAAAGACTGTGCGGTGTTCAGAGGCCAAGGTGACGAGGAAATACCTTCACTAGGTTTTGTATAGCAGGGTCCCCCTCCAGTTGCCCTGCAAGGGGAAGGACATGGGGGTGGGCTTAGCATCTCCAGAGAGGTCAGAGCAGGCGGGTTTTTCAGGGACATGATCCATTGCGGCCCACAGTACCTGAGTCAGACCTTTCCAGCATGGTCCGTGCCAGACTCAGGGGCAAGCCCCACTCTGTGACTCAAGGGCAACTTGGAGACTGACCCCTGCAAGGCCCTCTCTCCCAAAGCACCAAACCAGGCAGCCAGCTCCAGGGTCCTCCAGGCCCACCTCAATGCCACCCGCCCTGCTGTCCCCCACCCCCTCCAACGCAGGAGCAACGGAGAAAAGGGCAAGGAGCGAACAAACCACCCGGGGGCAACAGGTGCATTTGGTTCCCAGCCCCCTCCCTGGGCAGGGCTGATTCCTGGCACTCGTAGGGCCCCGCTGTGCAGCCAGGCCAGGTACCCACCAGCAGACACTGGGCAGTGCAGGCTGGGAGCAAGAGAGCCTGAGAACCCAAAGGTCTGTCTGTGCCCAGCAGCCTCCGTCATGCGGCTCCTGGGAGGGGAGAGGAGGCCAAATGCTGCTGTCTTGACAGTGCCCCTGGTCTCACTCCAGCTCCTAGACAGGCAGCTGAGTGCTGGGTCATCCCTCATTGCCCTCCCCTGCCCCCCAGCCTTCCCTTAACTGCAGGGCATGCGCGCTAATCCCTCAGCACCCACGGGCAGAGTGGGTGGCAGGACCGAGCAGCTGCCTTAGGAGCCTGGCCAGGAATAGCTCTTATCCAGCAGGGACCTGGCCTAGTGCATCAGGACGATTCAGCCCTAGGATCAAGTGTCCACAATAGGAGGAAATCTAATAGGGGCCATTGCAAGGCAGACACCTCTGGACAGTGCAGGGGTTGTGGGGAGGGAGTTGGTGGGTGGCAGTGGAGGGTATGCAGAGCCTGAGGCTACACTGGCAATGCCAAGGGGCCAAATGCCCTCGCCACCCCACAGGTCACTATGCCCAGCAGGCACTCAGCCCTCAGCAGGATCAGGGCCCAGTCTGCTGGCTTCCACTGGATTCAAGGGGAGTGAGGAGGTCAGAGGAGCCCGGGGTTCCGATGGGATAGGGAGACACAGGAGGGAAACACTGCCACGTATGGACTCATGGACTCCGCACGGGAAGAGCTCCGCCGGCCCCTGACGGTGGGGGGTTGCACCAGAGTCTCCCGGGGCTCCCGTCCCACCCCAGGGCTGTGCCGGCAAGAGGAGCAGCGAAGGCACCTACCCATTGAGGAAGCGGAAGCCGTGGGCGCAGACCAGCAGGTTCCCATGAGAGTCAACCTTCAGCAGGTTCCCATACTGAGTGTCAAACACCAAGCCCCTGCAGGGGAGAGAGGAGAGTGTCCGGGGGTGTGGGGAGCCCCGTTCAGAGAGCAACCAGCTCTAGGAGCTGCTCTAACCTCCCGGCGCCAGCCCGCCGATCCTCCACGCAGGGGAATTGAGTCCCAGCAGCGGAGCTGCGTCCGAAGCAGGGTGGTGGGCTCTGCTGGCGTGGCAGCATCTGAGCGGCAGGGCCTTGGGTTCCAAAGCACTGTGACCTGGGGAGGGGGCAATGCCAACCCCCCCTTGCCCATCCCTCGTCACCTGGTGGCTTGACTGACTCCACAGGCCTCAGGAAACCACTCAGGCCCTTGGCTGAACGGCACCACCAAAACGGCATCTTCTGTCCGCATTGGTGTCACCCCACTAGTGTCACTGGGTTTACACCTGGGACCAATTGGGCCTCCAAGGCCCAACCCATCGTGTCCTGCACCTTGTGTTTACACTTGGGCATGGGGGTGCCAACTTGGAATGGCAGCAACAGGCCCCTGCTTGGCATGGGGGTAAGTGACAAGGCAGGGTGGCAACGGACAGGGCCCAAGCCCCCTGGGAACAATGGAGGTTCCCGCATCTCCCCATGATGAACAAGGGAACCCCCCCCCATCCCCAACTGGAGCTCCCGGGTGCTGAGCAACGCAGCCCCTGGCCATTCACTCCAGAGGACAATACCCAGGTAACCCGGCTTGACTCTCAGATCCAAGGGGGCAAATAGCCACTAAGTGGTGTAAACCAAACCCCTTTGAACTGGGGGTGTTCAGACACAACGAGCCTGGTGCATTGGGGAAGGAGGGGCACTTTAAAGCGTCACGCCCTGCCCCCCAGCAGTCAGTGGAGCTCGCTAGGGGACAGCCCAGAGTGGCTGTGGGGGGCAGCACTCACCTGGTGGGGAAGGTCGGGTCATACTGGTACTTCAGGATCTCGTGGGGGTACCCAATGGAGACCAGACAGTCCAGCAGCAGCTCGAAGGCCAACTCCTCGTAATCTGGGGACTTGTATACTGCGGGCGGGAGTCGGGGGAGGAGAAGAGGAGCACAAGCCAGAGCTCCAGCAGCCAGCACGGGGAACCCTCTCCCCAAAACAAGGGATTAGGGCCCAGGCCTGCCTCCCCCAAAGACCCCAGGCTGTAGCAACACCCAGGGGGTGGGGCAGGGGGTTACAGCTGGGATCCCAGTTCGCCCACTGGCACTGGTATGCTGCAGACAGCGTAACCAGCATGAGCCCCGCTGGGGCAGGCAAATGGAATCTGCCTTTGGAATGTGGGGAGCCCCTGGCACTCACGCCCCATCCCCACTGGGGCATGGCCCATATGGGGCCAGCTAGCCGGTATAGGCGAGAGGCAGCCTTAGAACTAACTAGGGTCTAGCCCCTGCTCCCATTCAAGCCGATGGCCAGAACCTGGTGTGAATCCAGAGCTGCGCCGGGGCCAAGAGGAGGGTTACTCCGGATTTCTGGGAACAAGACGGGGGGCTCAGCAAGCAGCCACCACAGACAGTCCTGGGCCCCGGACCAAACTGGGAAGTGAGGATCAAACTGGGGGAAGCCAGCTGAACTCCCAAACCAGTGGCAAAGTCACCAGGCCAAACTGTTGGGATCCCAGATACAGGCCAGAACCTCACAGACCAAACCATGGACCAGGCAGGTTAGCTTGGTGCCTACCCAGAATTCTTCCTGGGCCCATCGACTGGATCCCATGGTGCCACCCAGCTCCTCACAGGCCAGGCCAGAGGTAGGTCCTGCCCTATAGGAACCCCATCCCTCCTCCCGGCCCAGAACTCACTCGCCAGCGTATAGTCCATATCGAAACCAAAGCACCTGATCTTCTCCAGAGCCAGGCTGCGGTTCACAAAGATCCTGGAAGGAAAATGACAGTAGAGGGTGAATGGGGGGCAGCCCTGCTTCCCCAGGGCTCTCGCTCTCCAGTTGGCACTGCCCCCCTTTAATACCAACACCCCCCACCTGGCACCCCCTCCAGCTCACCCCCCCTTTGTTCAAGCAGCCCCTGAGAGAACCACAGTTTGCCACTGCCAAAGAGATGTTCCTGCCCCAAGTTCGCTACCGGTCCCGCTGGGCTGCATCTCTGGAGGGGAGCTGGGCTGAGGCTTCAAAGGGGAATGCTAGTGAGCGCCCGGTCACGCCAGCGCTGCTCCGGGCAGGCTAGTCCTGGGTTTGCCATCACAGGGACATTAGCTGGGACCTGCATTTGTCCTTCCCTCACCTCCAGCCCAGGGGGATTTAGCTGCTAGTGACTGACAGAGACAGACAGTCTCCTCTCTGCACCCGCCTGCCCACAGCCTGCCAGGATGCTGGGGCCCTGGCCACGCTGGTAACATGGCCATGCCCCACTCAGACCCACCCTGTGCACACGGGCTTGCTGCCATGGGCTCCCCTAGCCTAGTGAGCAGCCAGCCCTTCCCACAGCTCCTGCAGCACAGACAGGTTCTGCTCTTGGGAAGGAACAAGAGCTAGCCAAGGGAGCCACCAGCCAGGGGGAGCCAGGACTGGCACTGTGGAGGGGGAGCACAGCCCCTTTGGGGAATGCTGGTGTCCGGGAACCCCAGCAGGGTGCAACACTCCAAAGCGGTCATCTGGGGAGGAGCGACTGAACGAGTCCAGCAGAGACATCAAGGATCAAACTCACCACAGAGGGGCCACCTAACCCCAGGGCTGGAGCCCACCCTGCACCTGGCAGGAGGGCTGGGCAGTTTAGCCTAGCGGGTACAGCACTAGACTGGGGCTCAGGAGACCTAGATATTATTCTTGGCTCTGCCCCAGGCCTGCTGGGTGACCTTGGGCAAATCCTGTCACTGCCCCGTGCCTCAGTTTCCCCATCTGTAGGGTGGGAATGCTGCTGCTGGCAATAAGAGCTGGGCGTTGTTATTGAGGCGTGAGATTTCCAAAATATCTAATGGACTTCGGAGGGCAGGTGCAGCCTTCACTCTTCAGTCCCTTCGAAAACCCAGCGTCAGCGCCCCGGGACAGGGGGACAGTCCAGGGACCCGACATCCACTAGAGCAGCTGCCACCCCAGCCACTGCCCTCGCAAGGAGATGTAGGGGGAGCAGCTGCACGGGAGCGGATTTCCTTAGGGCAGCGTAAAGGAGCTGTGTGGGCAGCTGGAATCTGCCCTAGAAACTCAGAGAAGCCCAGGGCCAGGGGGCTGATGGACCTGGGGCCTCTGGAGTTAACAGCCGGAGCAACTACAGCTTGAGCTAACGAGCCAGGGCTGGACTAGTCTCGTGCTCTGTAGCCAGGCAGAGTGGACCCGCTCAGCAGTGGGGCAGGCCATGTCTAGCCCAGCAACAGCCTAATAAATCGGGGGGGAGCAGGAATTCCACGAGGAGGTGCAATGAAAGCAAATGTGCTGAGCCCCTAGCCAGTGTGCTGCCTCTGGGGGAGGGGCCCAGCTCCCGCCCTGACCCCAGCAGACGGAGATGAGGCAGCCCTGGGGTCTGTGCCCCTCACAGCGGCGCCACCCTGGCATCAAACGATTTCCAGGTGGCCCATGGGCAGGCGTTCCCGCTAAAATTTCCTGAGGTGATAAACACCAGCCAGCCGCGGAGAGTGGAAGTGCCTTAAACCTACCGGCTCCCAGCCCTGTTCCCAGTCTCTGGCTCCCAGCAGAGTTGAAGGGAATCAACCAGCGTGTTCATGGGGAGCAGGGTGGCGTGAGGAGGCAAGAATCAGGCTGCTCTGAGGAGAAAGGAGGTGGGGGCCCCCTAAATCAGAGCCTCCTGCACCACAAGGTGTTGAGAAGACACACCCCTCCCCAGAGGCAGCTGCATGAGGACAGGCCCAGGGGCGAGAGGCGACCAAGGCAGCATATCTGGAAGCTGTTACCAGATCCCAGCTTTCAATGGCTGCTGCCACAGGAGCGTTGCACATCTGGGAGGCACGAATCCTCGTGCCACCCTCCTTGCCAGCACAACAGGAGCGGAGCTGCGCTGGGCATTGATGGAAAACAACGGGGGTTGGGGGAGGCTTCCTGCTCACTGTGCAGATTTCCCCTCCCCCCCCCCCGCAAGCGTGTGGAAGAGGTGTTCACTTTGCATTTGGCTCTGATCTGCAGGAGCAAAGGATCAGACGGAGAGCTGGTGAGTAGTGCGAAGGAGCATGTCTGCTCCATGGAGGGCAGGGTGAGTGCTGCTGATGCCTTCTATGGCCAGACATCAATTCTTGGCAAAATCATGGAAAGTTTATTAAGGGATACAATCAATAAAGATTAGGCACACAATTAATGCCAATCAACATGGTTTTATGAGAAATAAGTCTTGTGGGCTTTTCTATTTTTTAAACGAGTTCACAGATTTGGTTGATAAAGGTCACTGTATCGATAGAATAGATTACCTTTGTAAGATATTTAACCAAGTCCCACTTGACATTCTGATATAAACATTTTAGCACCGGAGAGAACCAATGCAGCCCATGTTAAATAGATTAAAAACTGGCTTACTGATAGATCTCAAAAGTAATTGTAAATGGGAAATTGTCTAATGGGGAGGCCATAGGCATCTGCTCTTGGCCCACTGCAATTCAAAATCTTTATCAATGTTCCGGAAGAAGACAATCATGGCTTGTAAAGTTTGCAGGGGACACAAACTGGTGGATCAGTAAATAATGATGGGGACAGATTAAACAGACTGTATACAGATTATACAGGCATGCATCCGATGAAGTGGGTTTTAGCCCACGAAATCTTATGCTCAAATAAATGTGTTAGTCTCTAAGGTGCCACAAGAACACCTTGTTCTTTTTGCTGATACAGACCAACACGGCTGCTACTCTGAAAACAGACTGTTCTGGATCACCTAATAAAATGGGCTCCTTTGAACAACCTTGGTTTTAATATAGCCAAATACAAGGTCATGCACCTCTGAACAAGAACGCAAGTCCAACTGATCTACCAGGACTCCTACATCCTTTTCAGTGTCACTACATTCCACTCTAAGTGCCTACATGAGAAAAAGATCTGATAGCAGATGGCTCTTTAATCTAGCAGAAAACATCCTAATGAGATTCAAGTGCTGGAAGCTGAAGCTAGATTAATTCAGACTAGAAAAAGCACAAGTTTTTAACAACTTGCCTGTATGCATTCTCCATCACTTGAAGTCTCTGTCTAAAGATATGCTCTAGTTCAGACAGAAGTTATAGGTTTGATGCAGGAATTGTTGTGTGATTTCATGGAGAATAGGTCCAGCAATGGCCAGGATGGCATCCCTAGCCTCTGTTTACCAGAAGCTGGGAATAGAATATCCAGGTTAGAAGGGACCTCAGGAGGTCATCTAGTCCAATCCCCTGCTCCAAGCAGGACCAATCCTCAGACAGATTTTTACCACAGTTCCCTAAATAGCCCCCTCAAGGATTGAACTCACAACCCTGGGTTTAGCAGGCCAATGCTCAAACCACTGAGCTATCCCTCCCCTGAGCAACAGGGGATGAATCACTTGGTGCCCTGTTCTGTTCATTCCCTCTGGGGCACCTGGCATTCGCCACTATCAGAAGACAGGATACTAGGCTAGATGGACCCTTGGTCTGACCCAGTCTGGCGGTTATTTCCTTGTGCAAGGTTCTCTGGCCTAGGTTATGCAAGAGGCCAGATTCTGGTCCTAGAACCCTACGAATTGTCACTGTTGCTTTCCTGGGCAGACTGGTGTCATAGCTGTGGGAACACAGACCTCGCCTCTTCTCTGCCTATGATCCTTCTGGATGTGCAGAAGAGGAGCTGCAGCATTCATCTCAATGGCTGGCTTGACAGAGGACTGGCATGTGTAAGTAAGAAGCAGATCTCCTTTCATCTAATGGAAGGTAACCTGTTTGCCTACGTGGCATAGGCCCAATACTGTTCACTGCTCCCAGAGAGTCTCCTTGAGCTCAAGCAGTGAGGCTTTTGGAGAAGGAAGGTGCGGCTTATCCTTGCTGTCACTTATTAGCATTGTTTATATTCTGGTAGCACCCATAAACCCTAGTTATGCACCACGGCCCCACTGCGCCAGGTGCTGTACAGACAGAACAAAAGGAAACATTTCATTGTTACAAACGTTCATTGTTTTTAAAGTGGATTCTATTGGTTGAGGACACAAAACTGTACAATTCCCAGTGATCGCCTGCTCCCCCATCAGCAGCTTCTGCCTGAGGCCGAGGCCTGAGCTGGCCACTGAGACCCAGCAGTTCCCTGGGCCTGAGAAGGGGCCCCAGCACGGCAGTGCAACCATCACTCGCAGTGGGCCGAATACTGACCTGGGGCCCACCAAACAAGAGCTGAACTGGGCGGCGCGCGCTCCAGGACCCCTCGGGATGAACATGCGCGTAGAAGCGCGGTGACGCAGTTGCTGAGCTAGGCTCTCTGTGGGCAGTGCTGGGACCGGAGGAGCAAACAGGGCCCTGCAGCCCGATGAAAGCCAGTGAGGGCCGTGTGAGACCACAGGGTGCGTGAGGTCGCTCTTCTCACAGTCCTGAGCAGCGAGACACCCACTTATGCCAGGAGGGGCTGCCACGGGCATTGCAGGGAGGCAGGATCCTGCCATGAAGTTCATCCCCACCCAGCCAGCTCACCCAAGGCCACAGATGCTGGTGAGGGGACAGAGGGTGGTGAAACACCCATTGGCTTTAGTAGCATTTGAGGATACAGTGTGGCAGGGCTTGGAGGTGCCGAGCCAGTGCCCCGTTCGACAAGGTCCCATGCCACCCTCCGCATGCTGGGAAAAAGAACAAATCCAAAGGTCACGTGACCCACTCCCAGCACCCCCCCCAGCCAGGGGGAGACACCCGGCACCCCAATCATGCGTCAGAGCCTTGCGTAATCTCCAGGGCTCTCTCTGCAAACAGCTGGGACATGTGATTCATTGAACTCTCTTA